CGTTATGGTGAGGTGAGGCGCGGGGTGGTTTTGTGCGACGGAGGGCGCCAGACGAGAGGTGATGGCTGTACACCTCGGCGGAAGGACGTCCTCGGATGAAAAATGATAATAGGAACTAGGTGTCATCCGTAACGTCAAGCAATGTTGGCAATTTGACACTACTATTTTTAAACGACGAACAGGAACAAAAAGACTTAGACGCTCGAGAAAGAAAGAAACGGCGAGAAAGAAGAGAGGAAAAGGAATGGGAATGCGGCATTGCATGGGTATGGCAGTCGGAGCCGAAACGCTTCTAGACGAGTGATGAAAATTAATGACGTGAACAACGGTTGGGTTTTATAATTAGAGTCGTAAAAATATGGCTATATACTACGGCTACAGCCAGAATGAAAATAAATAAATGGGAATGAAACAAAAGTGAATGAAACGAAAAACCTTACCTACATTTTTTGTTATTTGATGAAATTTCATTAGTATGGATTTCATTACTATGGATTTCACATTCAATTCCAAGAAGTTGCAGCATACCACAATTTCATTTGGTTGTAGTTTGCTTTTAGTTTTTATATTTCCGGCATTTCAATACATTTTTTAAACAAATTTTAATCGAGAATAACCAAAAGTTTATCAATAAAAAGATTATGAATACATATTACTTTTGTTGTTAATTTAATTTAACTGAATTGTTACCTACATATTTTTTATGTAGAAATTTTCATTAGTATAGATCTTACATTGAATCTTACAGAATATCACAATTTCAGTCTTTTGTAGTTTTCTTGTTTCCGTTTTCAAGTATTTTATTATTCGCACTTCGAGGACTGCAGCATCGGGAATAGTGTGAATCGGAAAAGGCGCGCATACTTACGTACGTATGCCCTGAGTTATGGACTTTTTGGCCCATCTGAACTTTATATTATTATCATCTCGATGTACATATAGAGGCAGAATAATATAATCGATTGGACCTGCGGCGAATCACACGCCGATGAAGATAGCGGCCTCTAAAAGCCTATAATTTTAGTGCTAATTTGTTTCGATATCTCCTCAAGATCTTGATAGGTTTACTCGAAACACAAATCAAACTCTGATAACTCACAGGCTCCGAGGAATTAAAAGAGGCAAAACGAGTGGAGAGCCGTACAAGAAAGAATACGAAGGAGGAGAGGAAAAAAATGCAGAGGTGCCAGGATCATTCTACCTGTGAATGTGTACGTGTGTGTGATTCACGAAACGTTCTCTCCTCTTTAAGTTTATTGCCTTTATCTCAATCAGATGCCTATCTTAATTTATTTTTAAATAATTCACTCTAATTGCTATATTATTTCACTTTTTGTTCTTATGTCGCCGACAAAAGCGGCAATATTCGTCCGCACGGAAAGAGAATACTTTGGCCACGCGATTTATCTTCAATCACATTCTTTTAACATTAATAAAAGGTAAAGACAAAAGTACCGACGGCCAAATAAATCAATTTCGAACATTCCTTCTCTTTCTCCATTTCCCACCCTGAGAGCCAAAAATAATACAGCTGTTTTAATAGGGAGTACGTCTTAATCACACCAAACTACGCAAAAAAAATATGTATATAATACATAGCACAACACCATTCTTTTCGGTGTTCGGCTTCTGATGTTTACCGTTCGGGGAGGGTTGTTCTCGAACTTCAAATTTATTGCGTTCGAGCCCTTAAACTGCCCCCATAACTCAATCCCGTTACACGAGGGCTGTTGCGGCGCCTTATGGCCATTTAAAACAGTGCTCAAATTAGTTTCCAATCGGAACAACCCCAAAGGCAGAACGAAAAAGAAATTTAAATAAATCAACAAGAAAAAAACGTGCCCAAAAATATTATCTTAATCAAGAAATATAGTTTATTTTACTAGAAGCACATTCATATATTTTTTTAGTTTTTTTAATACTATATATTAATAAAATGAATAATAAAGAAAGTAATTGAGAAACTCGTTTTTTTTTGTTATGACATATAATGACAATTAAATAAAACATATTTTACTCTTTTAATTTTAGTCTTTTCAATTAATATATTAATATAAGCAATGTATTAATCAATATTTAAATAAGCTCATAACTTTGATTAATTAATTATTACAGTTGCCATAATACATTTGAAATAATTAATTTAAAACATATAGACATAAAGTAACTAAATATAAAGAAGTAAATGCTTACAAAAGTCAAGAAATCTTTCGTTAATAAATTTCGAACAAGTTAAATAAATACCTCATCTTAATACCTTAACATGCAATTTAAACTTTTTTTAAATTTTGGTCCTAACTAATTTTGAATATGTGGTGTACCTTATAGTATTTTTAATACATACTTGAATGTACTAAATGCAGTGCAGTGATGAATTACATGATAAGATTAACAAGGAAGTACATCAGGGATAGCTGCCAGGTTTACGCAGGTTTATATATAGTGTGAATGAAAAGCGTATGAACTAAATTATGATTGTTGATTTTTATTTGGATTCGTGTTATGAATGTGGAATTCTTTTCGTTGCGATGATGATGATGAGTGGTGTGGTGTGGAAATAGTCGCATTTGAAACTGTTGCCAATTCCTCAAAGCCTGCGGATGAGAGATGCACGAGATGAGGAGGAATGAGTTGGATGTAGTCGGCTGGTGAGATGAAGAGAAGGAGAGACCTGGTGTTTATATATACACGTCAAGTTTTATAAACGATAGGTAACGCACAATTAGGCTGCCAGAGGCATGTCGCCACGCCTGAGCTCGCCAACTGACATTAGAATTTCAATTGATTCATTAGCCACTTTATTTTAACGAACTTATATAAATCCATGGGGCCGCCACTAATTTACATGCGAAAGTGAAACGCCGCGGCCTTTGCTGCTTGATCGTGGAAATCTTGCTTTCAGTAATAGCTATTTGTTACACATCCAGACACTATTTCTTCTCCTTCTTCCCATTTTTTTTTGCTTTTACCTTCCTTGTATTCGTCATCTTTATAATTTATTATTTACATCCATTCTATTTACAGAAATATTCTCAATGTAGCGGGATTGCTATTACACATACAGTTTCTGTTTAATGTTCTTTTTTTAATATTTTATTTTATATTACATAACAGATTAATTTCTAATTTAGCATATCACACAGTTTCAGTTTAAAGTGAAAAATAAATTTTCAGACTAAGAATAAAAATACGACTATAAAAAGTTTGTACTTAGTACTAATATTTAAGCAATACATAAATCATTTATTAAGATGGAATGATCGATCTTACATTTAATAAATATATATTTTGATAAAAATATTTTTTTTAGCAAATTATCGATATTAAAATGCTCATAATTTATTTCTAATACTGACACATTTTTATATTTAGTATCAGGTGTTTCCGTTTTAATAATCGGAACTTAATTTATGGACTTCTTTACTATTTATAATTTATTACATTTATTTTATTTAAACTATTACAACTGAATCTCGATTAACAAGTCCATGAAAACTGTCATTTACATTAAGTTAAAAATATTGGTAAATGTTATTCATAATTGATAACATAATATTTTTAGAGGTAAACGATCAAATTATATAGAAAATAGGCATTATATTTATATAGAAAAAAATACTGAGATAAATTGCAATTTTTATGTTTTATGGCTATCATTTACATTTAGATTAAATAACTAATGTAACCCGTAATTTAGATCACTTCAAAGTAAAACCACTGTGAACTTCAAGTACGAGTCATAATAATATATATTAAAAGTCAAGAAAGTGTTTTGAAGTTGAACGAATAGTGACATTGTTATCATTGAGCACGGTCGGTAGTTCGAAATGCTAAAAACGCGGCCGTTTGATTTACAGCTGAAATAATAAAAGTCGTAAATATGGTAAGAAGGCAATAATTCTCGAAAGTGAGTCTGTAATTTTAGCAATAATATTTCAAGTAGTGGGCAATGCGCGATGTTCGGCCGTGTCGGTACTGGCAAAAACGTCTACATGTATTTCAAGTGTCGAACATTTTCGGTGACCAAAATAGGCACTCACTCCTCGGGCCGACACCGTTATTGAACTAATGGAGTAATAACAGTTTATGCCGTTTATTCCCAACTGCATCCGAAACGACTAGAGAATGGATATTAAATATAGAGCGTGCTGCACGGGTTTCGGTTAAGTGGTCATGGCATGTTTATTTATACATTGGATAAATTTGATACGTAAGTGGAACCGTCCTCTCGAGCTGCAGCATAATGAGCGGTGCGCGAAAACGCCTTTGATACAAAACACACAGGAAACCGTAATTACGTGGCACAGAGTTGAGTAATAAATATGTTCTTTAGCAGTTGAAGTGAGACCATCGCGGCTCATTTGCAGTGTCGCCTGGTCTGCTGCCTTTGACTCTAATTAAATCGTACGCGGGACGGGACCCCCGAGCTGATGGATTCACTGCTTTCAACTATAAAACGCAAGCATCCAACAAAAAAAACTATTTGTAAACAAAAATAGAAGCCACTTCAAGTGACGTGAATCTCTCGGCAATTCACCACAATTAGTATTTTTAACTTGCCATCTTCACTGTTCACCATATTTAGTAGTGTGATTTAATTCAGTGGTATACAAATAGTATTTGTATACTGCGGTTCCTCGCACGCTTCATAAAAAAGTTTGAACCCTTAAAACTTTTTTATGAATCAAAGTGTGGAATACACATAAAGTATGGAATAAAAATACTTCATTACTGTATGATATTGAATAGTGCACATTGCCCAGAAGAAATATATTTGTATGATTTGAGAAAAGAGATTTTGATATATAATTTACATAATTGATGATAAAATGTATGCAATTAAAAACAGTATGAATCATTGATTATAAATTTACATATGTTATGATGTTATTATGGTGTGTGACGACAAAGCTGAAAGACAATTAGTTTAAATATTATTTGGACTTTCTGATGTTGTGTAGATATGTTTGTTCTAACTTTTTGTTCTTTTCCGTTTGCAGACGAATGTTTCCAACAGTGCGAGTGTCTTTCACCGGAATAAGACCGGATCAGAGATATGCCGTGCTGCTGGACATTGTGCCCGTGGACAATAAGAGGTACAGGTACGCCTACCATAGATCTTCATGGTTGGTCGCAGGTAAAGCGGATCCGCCAGCGCCCTGCAGGATGTACGCTCACCCAGACTCGCCTTACTCTGGCGAGCAGCTCCGGAAGCAAGTGGTTTCCTTCGAGAAAGTTAAGCTTACAAATAACGAGATGGACAAACATGGACACGTAATACCCCAACGACAAGCAATCCAAATCCAAAATACTAAATATCATCCTCTTTCAGCTGGTTCTAAACTCCATGCACAAGTACCAACCTCGCATACACTTGATTAAGAGACCCGACGGCGCCCCAGGTCATATCTTGGATTTGGAGAACGAAGAGTACAAGACCTTCATCTTCCCGGAAACTGTGTTCACGGCGGTGACCGCCTATCAGAATCAATTGGTAAGAAGAATTCGCATTAAAAGCAGCCTTATCACCGTTCGAACCATTAAAAATTTCAAAGAATTGAATGGACATAAAAGCCGGAGATAGCGGCGCCCAAGAATATTTATGGCCGAGTAATTGTTGAAAAAATTACACGCGCAACAAAAAAAAAACATTACACAACAGACAAACAAAAAACAGCAACGCGAACCCAACAATTCATTTATTTGTGTCAATAATGACTCCGAGGGGACGATTTGCCTCTTCGATAATGGTCCGAATTTATTGCGTTTCATTTTTCCACGCTGACCAGGATAAAAAATTGAACGCGACTTCCAAAAATATAGATATTTTTTGTTCTGCCGCCGTTGCTGGCGTATAAAGTGTTATGTAATGTTGCGACAATGATATATGTTGGACGTAGGATTCGATTTTTAGCGTCATTGTAAATTCCCGTGAAATGTCATTCCGCGCTTTGCTTAATGAACGTTCATTATCTTTAAGGCTTTTCCATAAAAAATGGTAATTTTTCCGAACTAATGCATTTTACGTCCACTTTATCAAGCGACAACTCGATTACCGCTCTATAAGTTATTATTATTACACGTTAAAATAGAAGTAATAATATTATTATTAATTCTTATAGAAAAGTATTATATCTCTGTTATATACATATATATTATTCTATAAAATTAATGATGGAGTGACAATCAGCCAATCAATGTTTTACTAGAAGATATTATTTGGATAGCTGACTATCATACTCTGTCAAACTAAAATCAATCAATATTTATTGAACATAAAAAATATGAAAGTTTATATTGAAAACATTTGGTAGTTACTGCTAACTGAGTATTTTTTATGAACTTTTTTAATAGCAATTACGTTCTATTTAATAAAACAATATATGAATAACAGAAAATATAAGAAAGATAGTTTTGAATAATAATCAACTTGAAGTTTTTAAATTAATCATTATAAATAACTTGATAAAGAAAATGTCGTAAAGTAATAAATTATAACTAATCGACGTCATTTCTAATAGTTTAAAAAATAGTTGTACAAAGTTTATGCACATCGAATTTAATCGAATATTTTGAATATGGCGTAACTACCATACAATTTCAATGAAATGGAAATAATCAAACACGAGAAATAAAAAAAGAATTGCATTTCAAAGCGATCGATTTGGTCAGTTCATGTATTATTTATGAATACCATTTTTGATATGAAACGGTCTTAGCTTCTCAACGAATCGAGAATAGTATATCAGATTACATCGAATAATTCGTTTCCTTTTGCAAAATGGGGTTTATCAAGATTTCCCTCGAAGAAAATTATAATCTATGCGAATAACGCGATACTTAATACATTGTAGTTTTTAACGTCTATGTCCTATATAGTCTGCATATATTTAGACACGTTATCACGACACGACTTGACTTGACTACACCGACCAGCAAGGACAAAGCCAAGTCAGATACAACAGGCCCATTTAATTGCCGATCGACGCGCTTCATAAACATTGTTTATACACCATCTCTCATCGGACCCAGTCGGATTCAATTAACTTCTAGTTTTATTAATACAAATCGAATACGGTTTTATTTCCATCTGAACACATAAATTGCGTCATGCAATGTAATTAATAATTATCCTTTTTTCATAACGTCGATTTCTTGGAAACGATAATTAATTGCATATACAAAAAAAAAACAACAAGCAGAGTAATAACAGTTAAATTATCCCAGTATCAATTGAATACGGATAGATAGAACGCAGTTGGCATTTGGTTGTTGCTAGATGGGATCCCATTTCACTTTGGCGTTGATTAAATCGCTTCCGAAAGATAAATGTTTTAATTATTTCTCGCGATTCGTACGAATAAATCTGTTTTTATCTGTAGTCCGACTCTGTCGACAGCTTTAATCATTTCATTGATTTTATTTTTGTTCGTGTTTTGTTGCTACAATTTATTTACATACAAACGCAAACGATTAATTATGTGCACTGAATGCATACTTTATGAATGTTCATCGTTTGTTTCTCAGGTTACTTCAAAAAAAAGTTTGGTCTGTGGAGCTAAATGTGGAAGGACTTAAAGACTATTAAGTTATTATTATTATTTCAATTAAATCACATCTGGTACCCACTATTGTCTATTTGTTGAGTATTTATATGAAACACAATTGAATCGTAGATACATTACTAAGAAATATGTTTTTAATTTAATTGGAGAGTGAACAAAAATTATGAATAATGGAATACAGAACTAATCTTTAAATTCGATTAGTTCGGTATTAAAAAAAAGATCATTTATGAATAAAAAAATAATAGTTTGACATCTTTAATCCGTACTATAGTTAAACCATACTGATAGAAACCACATTATGCGAAGTATTTACTGTAACAATTCCAATAATATTCAAAACTGTTCATGCGATACTTACCAAGTACATGTTCTAGTTTAGCTTTTTACCAAGCTGCAAGTATTAATGCAATAATTATTTTGAAATATATATAAAAAAAGCAAATATGGTTTAATTGCATCCGTGTAAATATGAGTAATATTTATTATGTTACATGCATTATCAGTGTTAATTGTTTTATTCATAGATCATTTTGTTTATTTTATATAAAAAATATGTTTTCTAGTAAGATTTATACTATAATAATAACGTTTATTGCAAAAGTCATACAAAAGTAATTTAATATATAATGATTTATCATTATGTATTTATTTTTATTAAAAACCATTAGAAATAGTTTATGAACATAGTTTTTTTTCACCTGGGTGTAAGAGGATGTTTGAGAATTACGAAATTACCTAACGCTTTGTTAAATTGATATTGGTGTTGGTTTTATATTGATTTATAGTTGTGTTTATGCAACCAGGGTTTTAAAGTGTAATTGACATTTGTTTGACAAGCAATTAAACAGCGTGTAATCCAACGCAAGAGAAGCAATGATTACATTTTTTGTAAAAGCTTTGATGAATTACAAATCTGGTGGGTATGCGGATGTGTGAAGGGTAAACTGCGTGCAAAATGAGTTCTCGTTCAAGCTAGTTTGGCGCCGATTAAAATGCCATTAAAAGCGAACTATTTAATAACGTTTTAAAAAGTTTCCCTCGATGGCTCGAAACTTCGCCGCAGCACGCAACGGCAGTAAAAGATCAACAGGAATTACAAAGCCAAAGAAGTGGTAAAAAGTGTTATTTTCGGTGTGGCGTTTGGCCGTGGCTATAAATAAGCGAGGAGAGGAGCTAGCAGCAGCAGAGAATGCCGTGAAGATGATAATGATGTGAGAAGGAGCGAAAGTGTTTCTATTTATTATGCTGCTGGTGCGGCGTGGGCATTTCTTGTTGTTCCTGCATCCTCGTCTTTGGTATGGTCCAGCTAGTAGAGAGTTCGGGGGGTCTTCTAAATTAGATTCTGCGGAATATTGTGAACGGAATGGCGAGCCTCGCCCTCGCTGCTAACGGCAAGGCGAGCGACAAGAAGAAATAGCAGATGAATAAGGATAAGAAGAAGTGGTAGAAGGAGTAGCATTCCTTCTGGCAAAGTAAACATAAATAATAGTTTTTAAATGAGACAGGACGTTTCACACACGGAGCGCGTGTGTGGCGCGACACATGATGTGCTTGTCGAGTGACGGATTACCAGAGGGACTAAGCTACATCACACACATTTCACAACATACACGCATAATACGACACACAGCCACTTCTTGCCGAGGAAACAGCTAATGAGCTGCCGGATTCCCTTTTTCTCCCCCTAAATAAATCACTCGCTACTTAAAACCCAGCGCCGGCTCACAACTTTTAATAGTCCTTCCTCTCTCTCCTCCCGTTTTTCCACCGTAGAAATACACAGCGTTTGATGTGAAATACGAGTTTTATTTTGTGGGCTTTACCGTTGTTACATTATTCCTATGCGAAAATAATTTGCTCTTTGTATCGCCTCCTCAGAAGTGAGACTACGATTCTTCATTTCTGCGAGTCCCACCTCCGTTTTACGCGATTTCCAGTAACTAAGCTTTGGGATAAAGCCGCTCTCGAATGCAGGACTATAATAAGGATGATGTCGTTTTGATTTGGTGGCGCCGTTGTTCTTGGAGTTACAGTTACAGCAGATTGTCAGACCATAGACATGCTTCCTGGGAGGGTACGACTGCCTCTGTGTCTGTAGAGGATCTGCACGGACATGAGGATGGTGTAAATGTCGAGGCCCCACTCTCTCATCTGCAATATCTCCAGGCCCAATTCCAATAAGATCTCCATTTGATTTGGGACGAGACATTTGCGCGCGTATGATTTTGATGTATGCCAAATGTTGTGAGGCGCGACTGAAAACGCGAAACGTCAGGGATTACAACGCGAACGCTTAATTACGTCGTAAACGAATTAAACGAGACAATAAATTTCCTCCGGGACTAGGATTTATGGGCGATGTTTGGGATGAGCGAGAGGAGATGTGGAAAGAACCTGAAAGACATGTGCTCCGCTTTAATCACCTCCTCCGCCTGCGCCGCCCCCGACGTTGCGGACGTGGCAGACGGGAGACGCGCGATATTTATTATCCGTGCCCCCGGATAACGCAAAAATATTGTTGTTCGCCGAATGGGCAATCTCTCAATTAACACGCGGCCAGATGATGATGGTGCGTTTGGCCGACGGCCAAAAACCGTGTCGGCCCACCCAGGTCCAGGTGCTGATAGATAAATAAATGACGATGGCCGGGCCCGTGACAATTTTACCAATTCGCGCGCTCTCCAACAGCCGCCGCCTCCGTCACCGCCGCTACCGCCGCCATCCAATTCATGGATTAATCCAATCCGGCCAACCTAAAATCAACTCCCCCGCACCACGAACTACACAACACTCTCACAGTCCAGTTATATATTTATTCAGTTGTTGTGTGTTTGTGTGTTTTTTTTTGTAAACGCTATCAACGGAATCAACAAATCAACAGATAATCCTTTCAAAAACAACAACGAAACATGAAAAACCTAGAAAGTCGACTATTTTTTTAATATTTCTTTTTTCATCAGCTTTCGAGATCAAAGAAGTGTTAAGTCCAGAAGATTAAGTAGTTTAAAAATATTTGTATTTTTATCCTCTAAATATTCTTCTTCTTAACACCTGCTGCTTTTTTTTACCTTTAACTTGGTCACACAAGACATATTCTCAGATTTTAAATTTGATAATAATGTTATCAACATTTTACGTATCTCTGCTTGAATTACAGTATATTTCAAATGTAACAGGTAATACTTTATGGATTGAATTTTAATGTAATGGCTTCAAAAATACAATTATATGCTTTGTAAAACCAACAAAAAATGCGAACATATTTTTCGGATTTTGTATAGAGAGAACTAATTTTTGTGAGTTATTGCTGATCAAATTTCGTAAAGTTATAACAAAGTTTTCGAAACTGTAATATTAGTTTTACGAAGGAATTAAACTTCAGTGTATTTCAGTGTTTTTACTAACTATATAATAAATAATATACCATAATAGCAACAATAATAATAATAGGAACAATTTAGCCAACGATAAATACTATAAACAAAATATAAGTATCATTAATTTACGAAGTTTTTATGCATATATTATACACACTAGTTGATATTTACAAAGTACTTGTCAAGAATTGTGTAGTGTGTATTAATAAATGTAATGGAGAAAGAAATTGGTTGATTGTAAAGTAGTAATAAATAAGATTTTTAAAAATAATTTTGTGTGCTAGTGATAAGTAAATCATCAAATTGCAATTAATATTATTAAGTTTAGATAATCAATTTTTTTAAATTGTCTTTATGTTTTTTATATATTGAAGGGAGTAGAAATGATGGTTAAGTCAAATAAAAGAACAAAACAAATATCATGGACAAATAAAAGAAGAGGTTTGGTTGGTAGGGTTCTCAGCATCTGGTTACGGACGCGATTTATTTAACGCGCCGAACAATGGCGCATTGTTCGCCAAGGGTTTTCATCCCGCATAAACGCCGGATAATTAGTCATTTGTATATGCGGCACGTCAATACATGAGTGTCTGTGTGCTATAAGAACGTATACATGTATACGGATTTGTGTGTATGCGTTTGTGTGTGTTGGGGTTAGGAGGGAAGCAGCAAAAGGAAAACAAACATGGGCTGGGACACCCGGGGTGGGCCAATTATCTGCTCACGGGGAGTGACAAGCACCCGATTAGACTATGCAAGGAATGCGACTCCCCGGGCTCCCATGATACATGGATGGAACTGATAGTGTTAGTTCTACAGATGATACGTCGAGATACAGCCGACCAGCTCACATACACAACAAAACCCATATAATCTATAAAAACATTCACACACACACACTCTTACAGTTGCACGCGTGCATACGTTCGAAGACAGAAACAGAAACAGCATTTATTTTTAGCAACAAATTTTATTCATCCAGAAAGGAAGGCCTCCCCTTCTTTAATTTAGTCGAGACAAGAAGTCCTCTTATTTTATTTTTATACTCGTGACATATTTATACGCGACTGAAGAGGAAGGACCAAAAGCATAATGATTGATTTCACTATGCATATAAGAGGAAGGAGAGACAGGGGAAAGAACATATAGTTCCAATAAAGATACACATATATTCAGATTTGTTCATTTATCTGTCTTATTGAATTTAATTGGCTTCCCGTAGGGAGCAACATCCTTATTCTAAATTGAATTAATTGATTATGTTTTTCATAAATTAATTAACAATTTGGTTCTTAAATTATTTAGTTTGACTTAGAATTTAAAGTCAAAAGTTTGTTATATTTAACATAATTTGAATTCACTATAGTCCAGTTTAAAAATTTCAAAACAAACTACAAAATCAGTACACATATATTAGAAATACATCTCGTTATAGAAGTTAATAAATTTAGATAAACTAAACAGAATTTATTTAACAAACAAGAGTCAAACAAGTGAATACATCAAGATCTCTAAATAGATGCACTAGAGAAAGCTTAGAAAGAAACGGTAGCAGATGTCAAATACCACGTACATGTTTTACCTATAAATCTTCTTGACAATGACTGAAATGTACATTTATGTTTTGATTAACAATTGTATTATATATTAATGGTATGGTAACTAAAATAAATGTTCATCAAGCACTTTCCAACAATTATTGGCTGGTTGAAAAATATTATAGTAAATTATTATTAGCATGTAGTTTTGAAAATGCGATTTTATGTTGTTTTATCAATTTATATTATAAGTATTCTTCGTTTAACACTTTACTTTTACATCAATTAGAAAATGGTATCAGATCAACTCATAATATTAATCATATAACACGATATCGTAATGATTCAAAGTTTTAGAAATATTCGAGTTCTGGTTTTTGCTGGTTATAGTTTAATGAAACCAATTAACGTGTTTCAGCTATTACAAAAATATTATATTTTTAATGTCAAAAGCTGTGAATAGTATTATTTACTAAAAAATATAAGTTGAAAATTATTTAACAGTATTTATGTAATATTTCTTCAACAATCAGTGTAATTTGCACTCATCTAGATGATTTTTATAAAGTACATTAAAGTACGAACTCTATAATTTTTGCAGTTTTAAACGTAAATGTGCTACACAATATTGCATAGTTACGTAACGCTAGTGATATACGAGTTCAAGTTATACCTGTACATTTTTCAAGAAATATATTGATTAATGTTAAATAGCTATGGTCTACCTGTTCAAGGTTAGCTATTATAAAAATAAAGTTGTAGAATATTTTTAAAAACGTTTGAAGGGTATGTTTTGTTAAATCGATACGATTATGAAGTAAATATTGCCGGTACCATTTAACGTACACGTTTTATCGATGTAGGATTAGAAAAAAATGATAGATTTTTCGTTCTAATTGCGTACTGCTTCGTTTCTTTCGCCGTATTGCAGAAAGCAATTAGCAGCGCCGCAAATGAGCCGAACAATTAACGTTTTACGGCTCTCGCATTCTTATATACCGCCGCCACCATGAACAATAAATTATGATTTATTTAGCAACGGCGTGCCGTGGCCATCCCACAAAACTGAATCCCATTGTGTTTTCCCATTGCAGATTACCAAACTGAAGATCGACAGCAATCCTTTCGCGAAAGGCTTCAGGGATTCATCGCGGCTCACAGAATTCGAAAGGTAATTATACATACATCCAGAGCACACAGCGAACCAAGAACGTTGCATATTTAATTATCCATAGTTTGGTTTGCAGGGAGACGATGGAATCGATGCTGGCGGAGCAGCATTACCTGAGATCACCGCTGAGACCTTTCGCTGATATGGACACCCACAACAATAATCTATCGTTGGAGGAGAAGGCCATCCTTGCAGCTCGTTCTCAACTGTTCCTGAGGGCCGCCGCCGCCGCTGCTGGACCCTACGGTCCTCTCATGGGAAGCCTCTACGGAGCTGGGGGATCGCAGGCTTCAGCCGTTCCTCCAGGTGTCCTCTGGAATCAATGGGCATGTCTCGGTCCGTCTCTTCTGGCTGCCCAGCATCAGCATCAGCTCGCCGTAGCCGCCGCCGGCAGCAGCCAATTGCAATCCCCAATCTCGCCCCTCGCAAGACCTCTAGCCCAGCACAGATACTCCCCGTACGCGCCACCCCCTCGGTCATCACCCGACACCAGTCTACGCGAAGGACACGAATCCCCCAACAGTCCTTCTTCCTAGGACATCCACATGTGATATTATTGCATTTCGTTGAATGCGCCTCTCGGATTTAACGGAGATCAAACAAATAACCGCAGCAGCAACATTCACACGAAAATCAAGTATTCGTTATAGTCATAATTAAGTGAAGTACAATTTGCGAATCCCCTAAAACAGTGGTCCCCAACCCCCGGTCCGTGGATCAATGGTACCGGGCCGTCAAAGGAACATTAAATTATTTCCATTTTATTTCAACTCACTATAATTTAGTGACTTAAATGTTAAATCACTTTATATTCATTTTTTGGTGTAACTGTATCAACGTAAAACCCCCATCTACCCCTCAGCAGGCCACGGCAAATTTATCAAACGTTGACCGGTCCGCGGCGAAAAAAAAATGTTGGGGAGCACTGCCCTAAAACATCATAAAACCTACATATTTAACGATAACATAAAAAACAAATCCACTACTAATAATAATAATGAATCGAAGGGATTGAGATGTGCTTTATTTTTCGTACTCTATTTGTGTAATCTATATACAAAAAAAAATGTAACTAAAGACAAAAAAAAAACATTGTAAAAATATAACTGTAAATATATTTATTTCGTGACCCTCAACCGTAATCTATCAAGAATTTGTACTTAGAGTGGAAAGAAAAAAATATTATGTAACGTTTTCTTTATTATTATTATTAATTATTTATTATTGTTGTAAGCAAGTGAGAAAGGTTAAAAAATGTACCGTTGAGTGGCACCGTTAAATATAATATAATGTTTAATTTAACTGCAGGACGAATGAATGAAAAAAAAAACAGTTCCTCGCATTATTATTATTAATATTCGTTTTCTTTTAATAATATTTTTTTTTGGTTGATGCAGCTTTCAAAGTTTACTGTAATTTATAAATAGTTGTAAAAACAAATAAAGATATATATATTAAAATTTTAAAAATAATAATAACTACAATTTAGAATGTATAAATATTGTAAACATTGCGACACACAAGAAAAAAAATGAATAAAAAACAATATGAATAAAATATTCTTAAATTATACATGTTTTACTTTATTTGTTGCAAGGAAATGTCATTGGAGGTTTATCAAGAATGTGTAGAATTAAGGTAAGGTATGAGGATGTATGAGGTTGGAATTAAATGTTATTTGATATTTGTGAGACGGAATTATTTCGAATGAAAGATTTATATGATTTGGTCCGCATTGAACCATAAACGCTCTTTAGAAAATTATTTTATTTATTAATTTTGATTTTTCAACGCATAACATTATCTTTCATCATCTTTATAACATCATAAAATGATATAATATTTCACAAACAAATGGATATAATGATTTATATTTTATTTTATTTGCATATAAAAAATTAAAAAAAAAATGCAAATAATTATTGGTGTTTATTGCATATAGTTTTTTTATAATATACTATTTTAAAATTTATATGATTATTTGTTGAATTTATTGAATGGTAAGTTCATTAATTGATTTTTATTATAATTTATTTAAAAAAAGGTAAAATTTACCTCACGGATTTTTTTTAGTTATTAAAAGTTATTTAATTATAATGTTCTTTTTGGTGATTATAATTGGTAAAAGTTTAATATTATCAACACAAAATTGATAAATTTATCAAAAGAAAAGCTAAAAATCTGGAGTTTGAATATTAATATTAATTATACTGTCATCAACAAAAGATCCTATTCTCTTTGAGTTTTCTCGAATTTCTCTTAAATTTTGCGAATCTATATAATTAAACCCACGAATACATTTTGCACATAATTTGAGCATTAAAGATCATAATCAAAATTTAAATATAATTTCCTAATCTTTATTTTTATGCAAAATATTTGAGAATTTTATATAAATTTTGAGATTTAAGAATATGTGTATTATATTGGTTTATTCACACTTCTTTGAAGCACTCGAAACAATTCCAAATATAGACTTCAGAGATAATCAATGAATAGTGCACATAAAAACAGTAATTTCTATTTACATACGTCAATAAATTAATCATTAGTTTATTGCCATTGATAAGTTTTGAAATATGATTTTTTATTGCAAATGAAATAATTTCATCATTGTTTAATTATTTTAATCGCACTCAACGGCGATAAATTAATTAAATGATTGATCTGCGGCGGTGATTTGTTGGCGTTTGTTCGTTCGTCCATTGATTGATTTCTGTAAACTTTTCAATTGAAACTCGTTTAATTAACTTCACATAATGAATAATCCCATTCAGAATTACGCAATTATTCGGAATTTTAATGCACATTGTACTAACTATTATTATTCTTAAAGCCCATACTTCATTGCATGGACGTCATAGATAAATGCATACATACTAAACACGCGTTGCCAAGGATTGTTGGCAGAGTGTCGGAAAGATTCTGGCTCTAGTAGGATTGTTGTACATGTAAAATATCAAAAAAAAATTGGTAATATGTTTCTGATTTTATTATTTTGCTATGTTGACACTAAACAAAACGTGTAATATATTTTCCACGGTTGTAAAAGTCAGAATTACCAGACAGATTACTCTGTTTCTTGTAGTATTATTTTAGTATACTTTCCAAAATTTATAGAATTTTGAGAATTTTTTCAAATAATGATAGACGTATATTTGATTACTAATTTACTGAAACGTAAGATGGCGAAGTAGTCTTACATTTGTTATAAGTGATTTATGAGAAAGCATTACTACAATATTAAAAATTCAGTTAACTTCATAACTTTTTTGTATATAATTTGAGCAATCTTATAAAATTACTTTTCATCTTCTTTACTAGTAGCGGTGCCCCTAAGGGGAAAGGGGGAATATTTGAGGGTCGCAGAAAAATTGATGAGAGATCAATCCGGAATTATTCGGGGGTCCTTTTAAATGTTTATGTGTAAAAGGGGATCGTGAACCCAAAAGTTTCAAATGCTGTGCTTCTCTATGGTACGTTCTAGAATCTAGATAATGTGGAACAAAATATTATATATTTCGCATTTTTATTAGTTATAATAGCAGATGTTTTTTATATTTTTTATAATTAAAATCAAAAAAGTTTTATAAACTGCAGCTGACTTGGAACTTTACTATATTTTCATTATAAAGGTCTAAAGTGCACTCCCATTATTATTCTGTTGTTCATTTTTAAAATTAAATATTTAACTATATAAATAAACGATTCAATTCAAAATATTCTGTAATAATTTATAAAATACATGTTTTTATCATGGGCTTTATTAATAAACTAATAAATGTAACACTATTAAATAGTATATACATACTATCAGAAGTGTGGAGTTGAATACTATTTTATATTACTAGTAACTATTCATAGACTATTGCTTATTAAACATGTTTATTTTTATGGAAAGTGATGGAAATTATAGATATTGTTGTTGGAAATTGTGTGCAATTGTTGTAAGTGCTAGGTGTTTAAGTCACATCATCTAGAATGCAATCTTATGACTTTTGTTGGTAGTTAGTTGAATGCAGGTTGTGGCTATAAATGCGAATGCGGTACATTTAGAATTCAGTATTTATGAGAAACTGTAATGGCGGTAGGTGGTGTCTGCTGATCGTGAACGTAATGGAAGTTTCGCGATCGTTGCTGGAAGTGTTATTATGGATGCGGTGGTTCCACGGACATGCAGTAAGTACGTAGCGGTGATAGCGTCGAGCATCTCGTGAGATCGACACATCCGGGTTGCGAGGGATGCTGCGGGGTTCACGAGAGCAGCCAATCCGAAGAGATAGGCTGCAGCAATTCGGTCTCTGATGCATTATTGAGATATCCGTTGGAAATACGGAGGCAATTTCGCGGGGAAGGCGCGATAAGACGCTAATGGTTTCAACTTTGCACCCTGTATGCCGCCGCCCCCCAAAGCAGCCGAGCCGCCGCTGGGGTTGGACGGCGTCGCCACCCTCACACGCACACACACAGAGGGCACTTGATGGAATTGAGCGAGTCCTGAAGCCTAGAGGCGCGTTATACACATATAAATATAAATATACACACACACAACACACCGAAACATCGAGGAGAGCCGCCCCTCATCCACCCTAGGGAAATCTATCACCCTTTCGCATTATCCATAACGTATCCAATATTAATCTACCGTGAAATGAAATGTATTCGCCCCGATTAGGTTTAATCAATATACAAAAAAAAATATAATATATATTGCTCATTATCTCCGCAACTCGTTTATAACGACATTGGGACAACAACGAGTGAGAGTGAAATGGAGACCATCAAATATGAGATAGGATGTGTGCTTGCAGGGAGGTCACTCGATATCTTTATTGAAGTCACGATACCAATCTAAATTGCTGATAAATTCAGCCGCTTCGGCCTTTTAGCTTTGTCACAGGAGCGTTTCAACGTGATTGATATGTTGCTGTTTCCCATGAAGAACCGGAACCACGCATTAACCAGAAAGGAAAACAAGTGAACAAAAAAATAAAAGGAACAGAAAGCAAGCTCGGAGCAGACATTATAACAATATTAAGTGTGGCAGGCGTTGCGGCCAAATAATTGCCTAAAAGCATAAAATGGTAGCGCGCGAAATATCGTCATTATCATTAGGCCTGTAAAACTGTAATTAAATAACTGCAGGATGCCATTACAAATCATCATCATCATCGCAGCGCTGCACTTACACTTGCTCACTTACAATACACACACGTACACAACAAACAACAGACGGCGGTCGTTAAATTATAATTAATTTATATTATTGCAATCATTTTGAAGCTTAATGACGTTCAGATTCTTTATGCACATATAATTATAGCTAAAAACAATCCCGTTTCTTTGTATGTAAATCTGTGATAAACACTCGCACGCTTAATCAAATTATTTTCATTCCTCTTGAACATTTTCAAGAAAAAAACTTTTAATGACATCCTGCTAATTGTGCAGGTTTTACATATGTTCAATACATTTATTATTAACAACCTTTTAAATAGTTAAATAGACATAAAATTAATAGAATCAATTTGCCTAATGTATCTATTTATATAGATTTTTTTTTTGTAATTTATATTTAGTTTGAATTTATGTTATTTAAATTTAATATATAATACAATAAAAAAAATTGTATTTGTAGGACTCAATTTTTGTATTATTTAATATATAATTAGTTTTATTGTTAAATGATTTGGAAGAATTATTGAATTAAATAAAAACATACATAATGTAATGTAAAACAATAATTCATTTAAATTATGGTTTTACTTTAATTACTATAAATAAATTACATGCAAAAAATATCAAAATATCAAAAATATTTTTTTACAATTATAATTTTATGCATCTATAAAAGCAAGGAGAATTGATTAAATTGAAATAAACAAATGTAAAATAATTATTGACGAATGTCAGAACGACGTAATCGAATTACAAATGGAACGGTGAAAGTAGGAAACACAGCTCAAAGTTAATTGATGTGTTCGACAACGACTTCCAACAAATTATTATGAATATTAATGTAAATTTAATTTAATCTTGATGGATGGATCATAATCAATATAAAAAGGTGTTCGAGCGGGTGTCATATGTAATTGGATTTGGTAGGATGTCGGGGCTTCAGTTACGGCTTCAGCTAGAGAGGAAATCGCCTATGAGAAATGTGCAAATCATTAACGCAATGTAATTTACGTAGGTTGTCCCTCCTCGTGTGCATCCGGGTGGGTGGCATCCATCCAGGAACAGAGAGCAAAAGAAAATTAGCAAAGTTCCTCCATCCAAACGCAAGCACAAATCCACCTGTTTCGTCGTTCCTCTCTCCGTCCTCGTCGTCGTTC